TGAGGCCAATCCTTCTGGGCGACCAGGAGGTGCGTGCACACCTCGCTCACATCATAATCACTGCGACGATTGACCCACCGGGCCAATCCGTCAATCTCTCGTTGATAGCGCGTCAACCCCGGCATACCCAGGATGCCGTCGAACGCGTAATTCATCTCAATGACGAGGAAGTCGTCGTTGCTTCGGACACCGTCGAACGTGTACGGAAGTGTTATCTCCCCCTGATCTCCCATCGACCCGCTTGACACCGATCTCCCCTCTACCTTTGCGGACAGTGATGTCCGACGGGAGCACCGACAAGCACGACGCGCGGAAAAAGTTGTTGGTTGCTCCTGAATCAAGGAGCGCTCGCAGTGGTCGTCGGGCACCGGCGACATGAAGACTGACAATGATCAATCTTGAATCGCTCGGCGTGGTGGTGGCATGAAAGTGTGCATGCAGCACAGGAGGGTAGGAGGTTAAGTTGCCACCGGGGGACCCGGACCTCCATTCCGGCCAGTAGCGGGGCCTGCACCTACTGAACCTGACAGCTGTTTTGGCTGGTATGAGCTCACGGGCTCGGCATTGACATGCGCAAGCACTGGAGCTGGCGCGCGGCACTCTGCCGCACGATGGCCGACCATCGGCAGCGAAAGCAGGTGAAAGAGCGACTGTTCCGACCACCGCGCCGACGCGCTACATGACGCTGGTGCTTGCTCGTCGCATCGATGTCCATGGGCTCGGGCGCAGAATCCCGAGCTGAAGCAGGTAGCGCGTGAGCGTATGACGCCGCAACCACGTAGTCCTCGCGTAGGGCGAGGGCAAATGCCTCTTCAAGCGTAGAGGGTCCGATCTTGTAAGGCAGTAGCGCGTCATGCCTTCGCGCATACCGAACACGAACACATGAACCTGAGAGGCCATATCAATGGGTTTGGACACGATAAACGACGCGAGGTGTCGTGTATTCTGGATGTAGTCGCGCATAGTCATCGGGCCTTGCCGAAGGTCGAAGAAGTCTACCCGAATTCGGGATTCATCCTGCGGCGGCTCGAACGCGAGCCGAAGGTCACTCTGGAGGGCATCCAGAGTGAGGAAGGCGTTGGGGTCGACGGCCAATTTGCCGGGGGCCCATTCCTTGGCTTTCCCAGACAGCCGCGAGAGGAGGAAGTGGGCCTTCGCGGAAGGCGCCTCGATTGACCTCGAGGCGATGGCGATGTCGATCTCGCAAAACCAGCAATTCAGCGGAAGTCGGTCTTCTCCGACACCGGAGTAGGTGGAAGTCTCTAACTTCACGACGTCATTCGTGGAGATACGCGAAAGAGTTGACACTCGCCGATTCGCATCAGCGAACTCGCGTTCCATGAGCTCTTGTGCCGCAACGCGCTGCTCGTCTGGCGTCGATGAGCGCAGCAGCGACGTGACGACGGCTTCTCCGGACACCGCCGCGAGGCGGTGGAGAGCTTCCCACTCGATCCGAGTGAGATGAGGGAAAGAAGCGTGATCGAGGTCTTGGCTCATGTCGAACTTGGTCATTGGAAGGACTACGAAGTGCTACCAGGTGTAACGGGCCAGGTATTTACCCCGTTACTTGCCTACACTATAGTGTTGAGGAAGCTCGCAACAGGACGACTGAGTCTTAGGTTTAATGAAAAATCAACTCTGACTTTTTTAGGACCAAGGCCACAGCCCTGGCCACTCAAATACACGTCATAGTCCAATTGGCTTATAATGGGTCTGGCTCCCCATATATCAGCCAATAATATAACAGCATGTCACTCTTAATATTTAGTGCTAAATAGAAATAGCTACTTATTCGCAAATGAAATAGCCCCTAAAGATGCTTCCAATGCTGCAAGGTGCTTAACGTACACGTAGAAATGCGTGTCTCCAAGGACATACTATAAATATACGTAATAGTATGTACTTAATAAGTTTTGCAAGTTACAATGACTTTTATAACTACAACTGTATAATGTAAGCTGAACTCCCAAAGCATGCCGCTTGGAGTGCTCACCGCGGTGAGCGGGATGTCGCTCTCTCGCATCAGGATTTGGTAGTATTCGTCTACCAAATCCAGTGCACTGTACAGTACGCTTCCGGCCATGTTGTCTAACAACCCATCCTTTTGTGGGGTTGGTTCTTGGACCGGCACCGCTGCGTTGTTCAGCTTGTTATAAGCGTGAACTAGACGTCACTTTCCGTTCGGCTTCCGAATGCAGAAAGTTGGCGTCGAGTGCGGGGATTTCGACTCCCGCACCATGCCTGCCTTCGCTTTTGCGGCGAAGAAGGTATCAGAAACCTCGCACTGTTCGCGCGGGAGCGGCCATTGCCTCGTGACACAATACATTGTGCCGGGCACGAGATCAATCTCGTGCCGTACGCCTCGATCCAGTGGGAGTTCGGTTGGCGGGTGTTTGTTCACCACGTCCGCATACTCCGTCACCAAATGATACACCGGATCCTTGGGGTTCTTAAGGATATCAGAGCTCAAGCGCGTCAGACGCTGCTTGTTTAGGTTATCCAGGACGTTCTCGTCCAAGACAGAGAAGGCGATCAGCTCCTCCCGAGTGGTCTCAGGTCTCATGAGCACCATCTCAGCACCATCCCAGCCTTGAGGTTGGCCAGGAAAGACTTCACCGTCATTTCCTTGAGGCTCAATATCTCTGCAACCGCTGGCAACGATTCCAATTCGACACCAGATGCCTTGACGGGTAAACCGGTCTCGCCATTGAAGATGTGATAACACTCTTCCACCGGCCTTGTCGGAGGAGTCCGGGCCCTGGGCTCCGAGTCGCTTGTAGTGACGTCGATCTGAACGAAGTTCGGATCCGACTTGTGGCGGCGGCGGCGTCGTCGACGGCGCCCTTAACGTGGAGCCTTGTTACCCACGTCTGGGGATGTCGGAGCGCCGGCATCCGAGGCACTCGTGGCCTCGTGTGGTACTGTATTACCTACACAGGAAGCGTGTTCGACGCCTTCCGCTTCAGTTAAGGTCTGGGCGACCGTGTGTGGAGCTCTGTTACCCACCTTGAACACGCTGTTCCCAGTTTTCATGACAGCTGCAGCTGTCTGCGGAACTAAGTTACCCGCTTGTGGACCTAAGTTACCCACTTGACCAGCGCCTCCTCTGGGCGCTGCCACCATCAAAACATCCTTGGAGTCGTCAAATACGTCGACGACTCCCAAGCATCTGCTGGATGCTTTGGTACCCTGGCAGCCCTTACGGGCGACCCGGGTCCTGACAGAGGTGGGAACATGACTCACCAATGCTCTGTCGGACTGCACAGGGCGGCTGACACAAATTGCCTTGCCTCGCTAGTCGATCCAGGGTTCGTGCTTCTCAAGCCAGAATATGCCCAGGATCATATCATATGGATCCATATCGAGAACAGTAAGCTGTTCGAGGCTGTCAAAGTCTCCAAACTTGACGGCCAGATGCACTTGGACGTTGGGGACAGTGACGATCTTCCCGTCGGCCAGTCGCACTGACACCGTCTCGTTGCCCTTGCTTTCTCTCAAAGCATCGGACACTTGTTGCTGTTGCGAGCAACCGTCTGGCGGCGTGCAAAATTCTTCGATGCCCCAGAATCGATCAAGATTCTAAAGGGATGATTGTATCCCCGTACATATCCGTGTACTACAAGCAACCCGCCGCTGCTCTTCGCCGATTCGAGAGTGCGAAGACTCTCAGGGGCTAAGTCCCCGTGGTACACGCCACCCGCGCACCCATCACGAAGACTTAGTTCTTCCCCAGTAGGGCATTCCGCCCCTACTGGTTCCCAGCGTTCCCCTGTCCCCGGGATCCTGGCTTTTGCCAGCGACCCTTGAGGATAGGCTTGGGAAGGACCGTCTGCGGTTTTTTTTTCGCGGGACAGTCGCGCTTGAAGTGGCCCATCTTCCCATAGCCGAAGCAGCGGATGTCACGCTGTTCGGCGGACACGAGTTCCATGGGAACTGGTCCGTTGGAGCTTGTTCGACCGGGGGCCGACAAGGAACTCCCAGGCCACGCTGAGGCCGGCGTACGCGCCTGGCGATGGCTGTACTCTTCTTGAAGCGTCACTTGAATCGCCTCTTCGAGGGTGTTTGACTGCACCCGGAACAGCTGAGTGCGTGCGGGGCCCACCCGAAGGCCACACAGTCATCTTGATGTGTTCGTTGAGTGGGCTTCCCACTAGGGACGCCGTGAGCACCCGTATCTCTTGCACGTACTCGTGCAGCTCACGCCTCCCTTGTTTGCACGAGAGGAAGCGCGAGCGCTGGCGGTACTCGTAGCTCGCCGGGGGGAACGCGGCTCGGAGCTGTTCACACAGCTGAGCCCGGGGATGTGAAACATCCAGGGGATGTTGCCTCCCGTGTGTACACCCAACGCTTAGCACGGCCGTTAAGGTTGCAGAGTGCAAAAGCAACACGAAGCTGCTCGGTCGAGGTCAGAGCCGCATCCAGCGCTAGCTCTACTTCTCGGACCCAGAAGTGAAGGTCCTCGCCTTCCTTCCCTTCATACGGCCTAACCTCCAGCCGTATTGGCTTCGGGTGAGGCGGATTGGCTTCCGCCGCCGGAGCCTGCAGGTTCTTCCGCACATGCGCGATGAGCCCCTGCTCGTACGCGTCAAATGCATTGACGCGCTCGAGCTGCTCGGCCGGTGTTGACACCACCAGGCTCTGCAGGGCCTCCATCCCGAAGATGCCTGCCATCTTCCGAACCGACTCGAACTGAGAGTCGTTCATTTGGGAGAAGTCGTTCCTATCCATGGCAATGAACTTCGGAAAGGCTCAGGTAGTTTACCCGCGGTGGCGTGGATTGACTACTAGTGCTACCAAATGTGACGGGGTCACACAGCACCTTGCGCTAGAGGAATTTAGCTTCCGAGAGCAGACAAACTCTCAGTGAGCGGCAGTTCTCAGGTCCCCTCTTTATCAAAAGAGAGCGAGTGACCTATTTAAGGTAGAATGTAAACTGAGTATATTTATAGATAGATAAAGCTTGGGCTTAATACAAACTATAAGTCACCTATAGAAATGCAATGTCATCGACCACTTCCCAAAAAGCTCTGGACCCCACAGGTGGCCAAGACCCCGCGCAGAGCCAGTCCACCCTCGAGTGGATGACCCCCCTTCAGGACGGGAAGCCCCACCACCTGGCGGCCCGAAGGGGCATGCGCGGTGGGCACGCGGCGATGCCCGTGCCCTACCGACAGCTCGCGCCTGACGCACGCGAACCAAGCTTCAGTCTGTGCCTGCGCGGCACGAGGCGGCTCCTGCCGCCGAAGCTATGGGGGCACACCTATGCCCGCCACTAGACGTCTGAACGACGTCACTGCGCACGCGGGATATGACACCCTCGAGAACGTGCTCTGTGGTCACGTGGACTGCGCTACGGACAAGTCGCCAACGTCGTGGGAGGTGACATCGCGCTATTGTGGAAGTGACGGCTGATAACTACGCAGCGGAGGGGTCTGCAGACTCCAAGGGATGGAAGCGCTGCTGGAGCGCTGGGACTACAGGGTGGCTGGATTGAGACGGACACCGACAAAGGTCACAGGATGTCGTTAGGGTAGCTAAGTGACAACCGTGTTCCTCAAAACAAATAAAAAAAAAATGTCATCGACCAATGGTTGGCTTTAGACGACCTTGGTACCTTGTACCAAATATCCCGAAGTATGACGTGTCACACTTCATGTAACCAGCGGTACGCTTAGGGCTACGTACCCCGTTACAGTGATGCATGGTGAACGTAAATGCTTGATTTGGGACAGCATGGGAGTCCACATATCGAAGGCTGTGAAAGGTAAGTGCTCTTCAAAAAGGGTTCGATGTGTGTTGTGCCTGGTGGTCTCACGCCTTACCTGCAAGCTGGAGTTTCAAGGACCTAGTGTACATAGAAATTAACGCTTAGAAAGAGTCAGACCAATAATATCCTCACCCGTATAAAGTCCTCTCTGTCACTTTTGAGTGGCACAGTTAAATATAGTCCGGACTCTAATAGGGCGCATCCGTTATTAATAACGATTTGCGTGCAAGGAAAAATAGAATGTTTATTTAAACAGGCACCTTATCTTTCGCAACCATGAGTTTCTTTTCTGCCGATTCTCGGGCACGCTCGGCGTACATATTCTCGAAACCTTGTGCATGCGTGTACACGCTGACCCACGCCTTCGCCGCAATCAAAGGTCCCTAATAGAGTGTGGTGTCTGTCTGTAACGTCCGTAACAGGCTAGGGTTAATTAATGTAGCGCAAATACGGGCGTTCTACTGGCTGCCGAGCGCAGCAAAGGCGACCCCAAATTGGCTAGAACCACATTATGTGATGTACCTAATGTACGTGGTCTACACATCGTTTTTAAATGCACCGTTCAAAATTTATTTTGCCCCCATTTTTAAAACAGAAGCGGAAAGCCACGCTACTCAAGGTACGCTGCGTGTATGCATGTTAGCTTACATTAGTAGCTAGCAAGACACACATACACAGATAGTCCGAGGTTCCTGGGGCTGCTTAGGGGGTAGCTTATAACTTGCGGGATTTTATCCTGCAAGTAGGTAGCCGTGCTAAGATGATTTAGTTCCTGAGTTCTCTGGGCTCTTGGAACTTTATTTCACAGCCCACTCTGCACGAGAGCACATTTGGCACCTGGTTCATTGACCGCAAACCCGACAGGGAGCCAGTTGAGCCGGTCGGTAATGGTTATTGATGGGCCCGCACATTGCGTGCGTGCAGTTGGTCAGAAGGGTACCGTAACTGGCCTCTTTTAACCGACAGATAGGATGCCAGCTATGTCAATAGCCAGCCATTGTAATTAACGACCGCCTTTTGGCAAAAGGATATCGCACATCAAGCTACAGTACTACCCGGGGGCCCAACCCTGGAGATTCGACTGCACAATTTGCAAACTATAACCACTCCGGGCCTCACGGCCCGTGACTGTGGGATAAGTGATCGGAGATAGCCTTGATGGGGGCAAGCAATCCCGGGTAGTACGCATATTCCAACACACTACTCTATAAGAACCTACTGCTACGTGCGGTGTACTTAGACATTGTCTAACGCGTCACGTTCTCGTGTTTGCAGAGCTATGAGTCGGAGTAAGTGAAAGAGGACGCGCGAGAAGCTCGAAGAGGCCCTGCGCGAGAACGAACGCATTAGCGCGACACCCACGCAAGAGGAAAAGGATGCACGGAAACGACTTCAGACCAAGCACAGGAAGAAATGATACGACTTAAACAAAGAGATGATAGCCCTCAGCGTGGACCTAGACGAGACAGAAGTCACAGGAGCGACGGACGTTCCGGCTGATCGTATAGTTATCACTCTCGAATCCAGTACTACCTAAAATAAATATCCTGAACCGAGCGATACGATCATTTTAGAGAGGTATAACTCCCCGGGTTTTGGCCTCCAAACCAGTCATCTCGAGCCGCCCGGCAGTCCGCCGACCCTGACGCTGTTGGAACTGGCCGTCAAAAGCTGTAGGAGCTAACTGATCTGTACGTCCTCAAGAACATATATGCCATGGAACAGACGCCCTCCCCGCGCTGGTATTGGGTCGTGCGAAGCAGCCCTACTGCTCCAAGAAACGCACTGCACAGAAGCTGGATTTTAGCTATTGGACCAACAAGAAGGCCTGGAGAACAATAGAAAAATGCTTTCGCCACACAGGGATAGTTATCAATGGAGTGAAGGGAGACAATAATGAGGCTGAGTTCTCCAGTTACGGGGGTGATGCCACAATAGAGGACATCATAGTCCGCGCTTCGCAGTTAAGCTCGTAGGTACATCTAATTTTACGTAGAAACTTCTTTAACAATATTTCAAATTATAAGATAGGGTCGACCACGTTACCGGAAGTGGGAGAGATTGCTGTATTGAAGAGCAGGAGGAGAGGACGGAAGAATCCAACCCTGCGGCACATCAGCACCGGTTTGCGGCTCAAATGGAGGCGGCGTATCAAGATGGAGCCGCTAGAGTAGCTTTATTTAAGGTGCCTGTCATACCACAAACTACAGTTCGGGAAGCGGTTCCGGGGTCGGCAGCGCAACGAGCTCGCGAATACGAGCTAAAAGGACATTGTCGCAGGCAGATCGTGACCGGACACGCGACGCACAAAGAGCTCGCACGAGACGAGTGAATGTGTCACTCTTTCAGCGTGATATCGCCCGGCAGAAGGGTGCAGAGCGCCAACGTGCCCGTCGAGCTCGGCGACGCGAGGAACAGCTCCAGGAACTACGGGAGCAGAACCGAGCGGACCATGACATAAAAACGTGCGGAGCTGCCTTCACAGGATCGGGAAGTGGAACGTGAGCTAGACCGACTACGGCAACTCAATTGGAGATCAGGGCGGACAGCAGAAGAATGCCAGCAGGAACTCGAGCGGGTGCGCACTCGACGCCAATACGTCCGTCATGGCCACGCTCTAATATCCCATAAGGTTTCGTTGCGTCCATGATAACGGGTGACGACGTGGTCGACGGTCGACACAAGCTCCCGGCTACAACCATTTGTCCGATCTGTAATGACATGAAGTGGCCTAGCGAGTCTGCGATATCATGCTTTCTGGCAGGCAGGGTAAAGCTGCCTCCACTGCACCCCGCGCCACCAAAACTGCTTCAGCCGTACGGAGATCCCGAGTTCCGCCGTCAGATTCGTGCCTTCAACCAAGCCTTTGCGCCTACGTCGATTGGTGCTTCGTGCTCAAACCGATCGTATCAAAACGTACGTCAAGACGGAAGCGTTGCCGGTACACACGGGGTGTACACATATCGCATTCAAGGGGCTAGGGGACACTACCTAGAGTATGGCCTCCCCCACATGGACCGTCGGACAGGCGCGCGGGTATCTCCAAAGTTTTCACAGATCTACATTGTGGATCCAGACATGCAACGCCGCGCGGAGCGACGTCTTGTTATATTCACGGATCTGGATCGTGTTGCACTACTGGACATCGAGAAAATGATGGCGGAGCACAACCCATTAGCGCAACGGCTCCCCCACTTTGGGCAGCAGGTGCGTCAATACAACACGGAGGCTCCAGTAGACTTGGTGTTCCGTCTGCATGATAACAGCTCGAGACTGAGGACGCATAACCGCCCCACTGTGTCTGAAGTGGCTGCGACTCTCATTGAGGATGGCAACCTGGCTCAGCATCGGGATCTACTACCCTTTACACGCGATCAAAGGCTGCTACGTTTGTACGAGACTCACGCCGATTACGATCCACTCCAATATCTGCTTTTCCTTCCATATGGAGAGAAGAGCTGGACCTACACAGACGGGTTCGCGAATGGTGCTGAGTATCGAAACAAGAAGGCGATGTTGCTTCGCGAACACGTCGCGTTCCGCCTTCGCCAGAAAGTGGATGATCTGTCCGCTCTCCGTCAAGGTGGGCGTATACTCAAACAGTGGTGTGTAGATCAGTGTGCAAAATGTGAGCAAGAGCAACTTCGCTGCGTGGCCGACAATCAGAAAACACTTCGCGCCGATCAATACTGGGGTGTTCAAGACGCTTTGCTCAACGAAGATACTTTGGCTCTGGTGGAAGGAGAAGTACTTATGTCGGAATACGACCAAGACCAGAACCGATTGGTGCACCCTGACCGAGATCGAGGAGCCAGAGGACGACCAACCCACTTTCTTAATCAGGCTGACAAGCGTATCATACTACCGGCTTCGCACCTGGGTAGCCCGCGGTCCATGTACAAGTCGTATCAAGATTCGATGGCAACTGTTCCGGAGTATGGATGGCCCGACGTCTTCCCAACTAAACCGTGCAGCCCCAAGTGGGACGAGATTCTTGAAGCGATACCTTCCGAGATTCAGACAGCCCAAGATCGACCAGATATCGTGGCTCGCGTGTAGCAGCGGAAACTGCAAACGACGCTTAACGATTTAAATAAAGGCGTTTGGGGCGAGTGGGCGCGCGAATTTACGTTGACGAGTTTCAAAAACTAGGGCTCTCCACGCTCACGTATTGATTATTTTGGCTGACGAAGACATACCTCGAACGCGCGAGGTCGTAGACAAGATGGCATGCGCTGAGATCCCAGATAAAGATACAAACCCTCAGCTGTATGAGACGGTCATGTCATGCATGCTCCATGGTCCATGCGGGCCTGCAAACCCTTCCTGCGCGTGTACCGAAAGATACCCGAAGCCATTAGTAGAAGTTACACAAGCCAATGCCAATGTATATCCAGTGTACAGACGACGTCGACGGCAAGAAGGTGTTCTAAAGTTCAAAGGCAGAGAATACGTCAATGCGACGATTAACCGGTGGGTTGTACCGTACAACCCGTACTCACCCAGAAG